TGTAAAGATGCGAGCTTATTATATCGTATACTCGACGGACCTTCTGCTGTCCTTCCTTGCCTATACTTATCCGTAGTTACTTATCTCTACGCCCTTGTGCTTGTGGGGTTGCTTCTGGACTGATATTCTGACCATCTTCCTAGTGGAACTCTCTTTTATTAACACTCATACAGTACCTTTTTAACTTCTCAAACGCCTATATGAATGTATCTCAAGTATTACAATGTCATAACTGCGGGGTTGAATTCTCCATGTTGGGGTTTACTATATTTATCTTGCATGATCTGCTGATTTGTCTGTAACTTCTTGTTTAGTCGTGACTAGGATCTTCCTGAATCAACTACTAACTACTCGTTGGCCCATTCTCATGTCAATATTCCGTGAAATCTTTCTTGGGTTATTTCCTTTGTTTTAACTTATGTCTCACACTGACTCTTTTTCTATCAATAACATCTCGGGCAGGGACCCTTACTTCCTCTCATTGATGTTGTATTTGCATAATGTTCTGGAATTGTAGCATATACGTAGGAGCTGAATAAGTGTAATCTCATTCCTTTTTCGTGTTTACCGCATTCTTCATTTACCATTCCATGATTACTCGAACCATTTGATTCTGACTTCATGCTACATCACTCTATATTACCCCTTTTAGGGGAGTTAAGATTTAGCACTATGATGATCTTCCTGTAGATGTTTTACCTCTTTAGCCTTGGTGTCTTATCACATCATCGATGACCCTTACTTGCCTTGCGGTAATCCTTCTGTACCAAGAAAACGAAATTTCTTACTCGCGAGGGTGGCACTTAGTGTAACTAGCACACATAGTCCCTTAAGCTTAACTTTGCTCACATTGCTTGCTTTAGGGAAGTGTTTTCTTGAATGACCATTTTCTGAATTTCTCCTGAATCTTCTTCTGTTGTCCATTTTACTATCGCCGGAACAAAATCTGAAATTCTCATGATGTTGACTATTATCAAATTACTCAGTCCCTAATTCACGTTTAGTTTATCTTATTCACTAGCCCATACTGATTTATATTACTTTGGGGTCTAACTTTTCCTCTTGGTAATCGCGCTAGAGTTGCGAACGTATTTCTCAAAATGAGGACATGGCTGTATGGCCTATACTCTTTTGTTGTCCTAAAGCCTGTCACCTCTCGTCTCTTCCTTCACTTAACTATAGAGTTTGTAATATTGTCATCTTTTGATCTACCGTAGTCATCTATGTACCACATCTTACTCATAATGCTTCATTAACTTTTTTCTTGTTTCCCGCTAACATTTATGCCAATCACTATATTCTGAAAACTCGAACAAGACATTATTTTGCTTTTAGCTTCCCTTTTCTCCATCCAGTGGCCCTTCAAGTTGCTTAACGTTCTCGTTTTACTACGGACGCGATCCACACTAAGGTAATATGTATACTCATATCTGGCTGTACTGTTTTAGAGTGTACCATCTGGGTGTCTCACAAGGAGATCTACTAGAGAAATTGCAATATCCTTCGGAAATGTCAACACAAACAATCCATTTACTATTTTGGTTTACTCTAACCCCAGCCAAATCCTGATGTTCCGTCCTTTTCTTAACTACACCTGTTAGCCCCCATAGGGCATAACTGAGATGGGTACGACCAATTGTACATACCTCTGTTACTATTGAGGGTAACTCTTAATGCTTATAATTTTCCGCTGGAACTGTAATACTGATAATCTTCATTAACTGGGCGCCTCGTACCCTTCTTTACCTTGCTTCTTTTACTTCTTGAAAGCATTGTCTTTCACCATAAAGGTGGATAAATATTCTTGCCTTAAGGTTCCTTATCAAGAGGCTTACACCTTTCAGTACACCCATGATTTGCTAAAGACCTCATATTTACGTATCGTAGGCTTCATACAGATAGTGAATTCCTCTGACTCAGCTCTTCCACAGCTATCTCTCTTTCCAACCATCTTTTCGGATATAGGTATCGTCTTATTACGAATAAAATAGAATTTCAGAATTTGAATTCTTATAAGTGAGCGCTACCACACGATCTAGAGTAAGAAGAAAGAGTGTGTCACGCCCCAAACTAGGGGAGGCACGACTGGCACTCGATATTGTATTCGATCGAGTTAGCCACTAAACATACTAGCTAACTAAACTGGGGGCCCAATAGATCGGGCAGCACAACATCTGAAATACTAAGCCTGGACCATTAAGGTCATGACCTGAATAACAATAAGCCATATAAACAAAAGTAGACGAGCCAAAATAATAAAGTACTAGCTGGTCGACGAGGCCGCGATTCGAGACATACATGCCTACACATATATATATATACATGCCAAGCCTATAGGCTGGAGACTGAAAGCTACAAAAAGAAACCCAGAATATTGTGTCCACAATAGCCTCTAAGAGTGTCATAAGCACTGTCGAGACAAGGCCCCGACTATACCCAAACTGTATAAAAGAAGTAACCATTCTATGAAAGCTCCATGAAGAGGTGGATCTTACCAACTCACAGCTGAACCCCAAAATCCTAGCGGAGGGGTCGATCAGAGTCTGTACCTGGACCTGCATGCATGAAACAAAAATGTAGTATCCCTAGGCAATGGGACATTAGTACGAATAAAAATGTACTGGTATATAAGGCAGACAGTAGAATCATAAATAGCTGATATAAAAAAAAAGTAATAGAGATACCACCTGACACTGAAACTCTGATAGCCTCCATGGCCGACATCCGACTTCATAGTAATCAAATATGCATGGTATGCTCGTGTAATCGTATGTCGTGAATACATATATATATTGATGCAAATGCATGACATACCCAACCAAATGCTAGCAATGGCGGTCTCTTCCGGTAGCTAACTGGTATCATATTGCCAACCTGTGGCTATCTGTACAATATATATAGTTTTTCGGGCAAATAGGACTCTCACCTCCGATTATAGCTCGAAGTCCATGCATAATATTCCATGTATGATATGAACTTTGAATGCACATAATAGGCCATAACAAGAACTTAGCCAATCTTGGCTCATAGGTACTCTTATCCTCATGATCTCATAATCACCTTCGTATCGCATACAATTGTCTCGTGGAACCTCATATGTTTTCTTTTCTTTTGAATAAGCTTGAAAACTTAACTCGACTTTTAGAAAGATAACTTAACTCTGAAGATGTTCATAAAAAGCTTAAGGTGCTTCACTTAGTCCTTATACCTGATTTCTTGATATTTAGTAAAAGAAAGTATTTCAAAAATCAAGTGTTTTAGTAGTTTAAACATAAAAATTATATTTGAAATTTTTGGAAATCGACGTGTCACTTTAGAGATTTTAAGATACACTTTAACAAGGGAGAAGGACTGGTCGCAAATACTAAATGCCTTTATTTTCTAGTCACACAACCCAAAGACGAATAAGAATTCACATATATAGACATATAGTTAAGAAAGCCGAACAAATGACATATATAGATGTCGAATACCCTATTTAACCGAACGAGTGGAATATCAACCTAATAGCATCATGAAAATACTTCAGCTATGATCCCAATGCCTTTCACAGAAGGTCTTTCTAGCAATAGAATAGTAAAATATCACATTTGACGTCTTAGGAATTTCCCAGAATTCGTGCCAAAAGGAAGGACAGAGTTTAGCCTTAACATACCTCTCCAACGAACGTCTGAATGTCTGTAGTTCCTTCACGAAAGTTGTTCCTTACGTCCTAAGCTTCTAAAACACTATATATATGTAGCTTATATGCACCTATAAACAGTTCATAATTGAGTTTAAGTCGGCAGATTTGCCATATGACCCTAACTTGACGAAACGTCCGTAGAACTTTGTAAAAACGATCATAAAAGAGTCCCAAGATGATTACCTTGGAAAACCAAGTATAAAGCCTGAAGAACCAGCAAGAACAACAAATTCCTATCTTCCAAGAATAGCTCCAAACACAGCTAATAGAAGGGGGAAACGATTGCAAAGCGTAGAGATTGTGTTTCTAGGCACGGGGGCAAATTTTAACGGTAGAAATCGTTAAAAACGCACCTTAATCACTCAAGAACACCATGGAACCTTCTCTTCAGCTTTCTTACTATTTTAGGACGAAAATGAAATGTTTTTAGGTCTGAATAGTCGAATTTGCCGACTTATACTACTTGTTTGACCCGACCCGGTTCGCGACCCGGTTTCAGCCTGGACAATCCGCGGTAAAACAATCATAACTCTTTATTCCAATGTCGGATTGATGTGAGGTTTTTTTGATTGCGGACTAGACTCGTAGACCTTCGATTTGGTAGGTTGTGGGTCCTATAACTCTTTATATATTGGGAGAAATGATCTGATACATTTGACCCAAAGTTTAGAAAATTTATTAGAGAAATTTACGATAACTTTTGCCGACCTTTATTTCGCAACTTGCTTGATTCCAAAACTTAACATGTGATCAGTGTGATATTATAATACCTCATAACACATTATTCTTATCATATTAGACACTCTTGGTCTTATCCCACATGTGTAAATTAACTTAAACCTTCCGAACATGCGAGGTGGCACCCGAGCCATTTCTTTAACCACGAACCTTTGTTTAAAGGATTCCTTTGACCTACAGCTTTAGTTTAGTTCCTTGATATTACCACACATTTTCATTCTTATTCTCCCAATGTGCTACACCCAATCATATATACCTAATATAACCACGCCACGTTACGTATATTACGTAAGAGAAAAAGAAAAAAACATGGGGTCTCACAGTCTCCCCCCGTAAGAACATTCGTCCGCGAATGGGTCAAGTCAATTCCTTGGTTTCATTTCTTTTTAGTTAGTACGTTATTTGCAAGGCTATATTTGTTATATTGCAGAACATAAATCAAATTCTGAAGATTTCAATTACTAGGCTTTGTATAGCTATCTCGCAATAAGAAATTTAAATTGCACTTTCAAGTCATTTAAAATCCAATTAAGTTGTTGTAAAGGAATAATTACCAATTATTTAAATGCGACTCACCTTAAGTCGTAAATAGGTGGGGGTACTTCTTCCTCTTTTCCTCCTCAGCTTCCCAGGTCATTTCCTCGATGTTGTTATTTCGCCATAACACTTTCACGGAAGCCACTTCTTTAGTTCGAAGCTTTCTTACCTGCCGATCTAAAATAGCTACTGGTACCTCTGCATAAGATAAGTCTTCAGCAATGTGAATATCCTTCATGGGCGTAATACGTGAAGGATCTCTAATGCACTTCCGCAATATAGATACATGAAACACAGGATGGACTGCTTCCAATTCTGAAGGCAAATCAATCTCGTACGCCACCCTACCAATCCTCTGAATAATATTATACGGTCCAACAAACCTGGGGATGAGCTTCCCCTTCTTTCCAAATCGCATGATGCCCTTCATAGGCGATACTTTCAGAAAAACCCAATCTTCTACATCAAACTCTAAGTCTCGTCGTCGAACATCTGCATAAGACTTTTGCGGACTTTGTGTTGTGTGCAGCCGGTCTCTAATAAGTTTTACCTTTTCCATTGCTTGCTGGACTAAATTACCCCCTAACAACTCTGCTTCCCTGACCTCGAACCAACCGATCGGTGACCTACACTTCCGCCTATATAGTGCTTCGTAAGGGGGGGCCATCTGAATACTAGCTTGGAAGTTGTTATTATAAGCGAACTCAATAAGAGGTAGATGATCATCCCAACTTCTTTTAAAATCTAGCACGCATGCACGTAACATATCCTCAACTGTCTGAACAATACGCTCTACTTGTCCATCAGTTTGAGGATGAAAAGCGGTGCTAAGATTTACCTGCGTGCCTAGACCCTTCTGAAAAGATTTCCAAAAATGTGTTGTAAATTGAGCCCCTCGATCAGAGATAATAGATAATGGTACTCCGTGAAGGAAAATAATCTCTCGAATGTAAAGCTTGGCATAATCCTCGGTTGAATATGTCGTCCTAACTGGCAGGACATGAGCAGATTTTGTAAGCCTATCAATAATTACCCAAATAGAATCATACCTCCGTGGAGTGCAAGGCAAACCAGTGATGAAGTCCATATTTATCATGTCCCATTTCCATAATGGAAGTTCAATATACTGAGTTAGTCTTCCAGGCCTCTAATGTTCAGCTTTAACTTGTTGGTAGTTGGGACATTGTGCTACCATCTCCGCGATATTTTTTTTCATTCCATTCCAACAATAGATATGTCGAAGGTCCCGATACATCTTTGTCGCTCCAGGGTGAACTGCATATCTAGAATAATTGGCCTGTAAAGGAATCTTGGCGCGGAGCTCTCCGATTGTCGGTACACATAAGTGGCACTGGTATCTAAGGACTCCATCTCCAGTTAGCTCAAATAAAGGTTGTCGCTACTGTGGAATACTTTCCCTCAGTTTTATAAGCTCAAGATCCTCGTGTTGTCGCTCTTTCACTTCAGTAACAAAATAAGATTTTGTTGTATTCTGAACGAGAATGCATCCACCCTCTGCGTCTACCAAACGCACCTGCAAATTAGCTAGCTGGCATAGATATTTGGTTCAACATCATCGTAATATATTACTGCAGAGCATAACATCGACGTAATACTGCGGGGCGTAACACGGTATCCCGGGAGATCCCCTGCACATTTACGTTTGGGACTACGGGATGATATCTCGGGAGATCCCCTGTTGTTATCTCTGTGTACTGAGCTGTTGTTTTTCTATGATTTCATTCTCGTTAAATTTTAGTATTTATCTTTACTGCAATATTTCATATTGAATTATTTTATTATATATATATACCAGTAGGGCCCTGACCTGATTTCGTCACTACTCGACCGAGGTTAGGCTTGGTACTTACTGGGTACCATTGTAGTGTACTCATGCCTTTCCTGCACATGTTTTTCGTGTGCAGATCCAGGTACCTCACATCAATTGCATTACCGGTGAGGCGAGATGACTGTAGAGACTTCGAGGTATATCTGTCGCGTCCGCAGACCTATGAGTCCCTCTCTACTCTTCCTCAAGTTAAAGATTGTATTTTCTTCTTGTATTATACTCTGGAGTATAGGAGCACTGTGTCTTTTCTTTACCTCTTGACTTATGACATTCCTTATATATACTATTCGGAAGTGATTATTGTATATGCCGAGCGGCATCGCATTTCCTTGTTTAAAATTTACTCTTAGTTGATAGCTTTTATGTTTTTCGTTCCTTTTCCACAAAGTTAGGCTTACATAGTCGTAGAGATTAGGTGTCGTCACAACAGGTTCACGAAGGGAGAACTAGGGAGGGTCGTGATAGTGGATTTAGTATGGAAATAATTCTTTTTTTTTGTTTGTTGATTTTCCTGTATCCACAAGGGTCTATTCAACAATCAACAGGTTAAAATTAATATTAAAGGGTAATGTTCAACAGGACAAAATTAATATTAGTTATTTAATAAGAATATTTATGACATATTTTAGACTATAACAACAACAACAACAACAATAAACCCAATAAATTTTCACAAGTGGGGTCTAGGGAGGGTATGATGTACACAGTCTTATTCCTACTTGGGTGGGCAGAGAGGTTGTTTCAGATAGACCATCGGCTAAAGAAAAAATGAAAAAAAGCAGTGGCAATAAGTAGTAACAACAAGAAGATATTATGAAGACTGAAGTCAAGATAGCAATTAAACGATAGGTAGTAATAGCAATCTAAGAATAAAAAGATATCATATTGACACTAATTTTATCGAACTAAGGAAGACAAAGAGAAACGTTTGACTATCTACTAACTTTCTACACTAATTCCCAACCTCCACGCCCTCCTATCAAGGGTCATATCCTCAGTAAACTCCAGTTGCGTCATGTCTCTCCTAATTATCTCTTCCCAAGACTTTTCGGCCTACCTCTAACCCACCAAAGCTAATCTCTCACACAACCTAACAGGAGCATTTGTGCTTCTCCTTTAAACATGCCAGAGCCATCTTATCCTTGCCTCCCGCATCTTATCCTCCAAGGGGGCCACTTCTACCTTATCCAAACAACTTTATTCCTAATCTTATCTAATCATGTATGTCCATATATTCATCTCAACATCTTCATTTCAACTACTTTCATCTTCTGGACATAAGAGTTCTTGGTTGGCCAACACTCTGCCCCACACAACATAGTTGGTTATACCAATATTTTGTAAAACTTACCTTTATGTTCTAGTGGAACAATACTATTATCACAAAAGACACCAGAAGCGAGCCTCCACTTCATCCACCCTGCTTCGATACGATATGTGTTATCCTCATCAATCTCCATCATCTTGTATTACTAACAAAAGGTACTTGATACTTCCTCTTATAGGATGACTAATGTATCAAACGTCACATCCATGTCCACTTCCTGGGTAACGTTCTGAACTTGCACTCCGAGTATTCGGCCTTGGTCTTGCTCAACTTAAAACATTTAGACTCCAGAGTTTGTCTTCAAACCTCCAATCTCTCGTTAACACCACTTCACGTCTCGTTCATCAGAACTATATCATCTGCAAATAACATATACCATGGTACCTCCCCTTGAATGTGACGCGTCAATGCGTCCATCGCCAAGGAAAATAAAAACGGGCTAAGGGTTGATCCCTGATGCAACCCCATCTCAACCGAAAAGTGTTCTAAGTCTCCTCTTGTTGTCCTTACCCGTGTCTTAGCTCCATCATATATGTCTTTAATTACCCTAATGTAGGCTACAGGCACACCTTTAGACTCCAAGTATCTCCTAGAACCTTTCTCGGGACTTTATCATATGATTTTTCTAGGTCAATGAACACCATATATAAGTCCTTCTTCATTATCCTATACTACTCCACTAATGTCCTTACAAGATGCATGGCTTCTGTAGTCGATCGACCCGTCATAACATCGAACTGGTTCTCGAAAATAGACACACTCCTCCTCACCCTCCCTTCTGTCGCGCTCTCCCAAACGTCCATCATATGGCTTAGCAGCTTGATACCCCTATAGTTGTTGCAATTTTAGATATCACATTGTTCTTGTACAACAAAATCATTATACTCCACCTCAACCCTTCAGACATCTTCTTCGTTCTAAAATGACGTTAAACAACTCAGAGAGACATTCCAAGCACGTCCTACCCGCGCTCTTTCAGAATTCTGCAGAAATTTCGTCTGGCCTGATCGCTTTACCCCTACTCATCCTACGCATAACCCCTCGATTCTCCCTCTCTTATGTGCCTACAGTACCCAAAATATATATTTTAGACTACAAAATTAAATATCTTTCTTTCTTAAACTATTTAATATTTTTACGTAAAGTGAAACGAAGAAAGTGCATATTTTACATTTATTGATTCTAAATAACCGTTAATCATGTTTTGTCGCAAGAACTATTGTTACATATGTCAGTGTTCTAGCTTCGGGTTTTGTCATTAAAAACTGAACTTTACAGACAGAATATGAATAAAAAGGCAGCTTTTATGATCTCGTGCTTATTTTGTTTTGTTTGTTGGAGAATATGCTGATGCTTAAAAAAAGTACGTAAAGTTTTGCGTCGTCCTAAAACTGGTGGAGAAATGAGCCATCTCCTTTTTCGTCATGGTATGAGTAAAAAATTGTCACTTGCCTTACAGACGGTTACCAAAACCAAGAGCCCATTCAAGGGCCAGAAATTCCTTGATATCATAGCTCCAAAGCCAAATGTAACCAAGAATCACCAAAACTATCTTAACCTCATTGAGGACTTTCTTCAAACAGATTCTGAACAAAATTGTACAAAACACGCATTGCATAAAGAACTGTCTTTTCCATATTCAATGGAAGATTCAATCTCATTGCTTTTTAAGTTTCATAAAGAAGGGTCTAAAATTGGGGTGAGTTTAGTGTCAAATGCTATGGGTTTATGTGCGTCGAAGAGAGATTTTAGGGTAGGGATTCAAGTTCATTGCTTGGTGATTGTAAATGGGTTTTTGTCCAATGTTTATGTTGGTAGTTCTTTGATCACCTTTTATAGTAATTTTGGAGGAGTGGTGGATGCTTACCAAATGTTTGACGAAATGCCTGTGAGAAATGTTGTGTCTTGGAGTGCTATAATAAATGGTTTTGCACAAGAGAATGAGGTTGATATGTGCTTGAAATTGTATAAGGGTATGATGGGCTTGACATTGAAACCTAATGAGTTCACGTTTACGAGCTTGCTGAGTTCGTGTATGGGTAGTGGGTGTTTTGGTCATGGCAGGAGTATTCACTGCCAAATAATTCATTTGGGTTTTGATTCCTATATACACGTTTTGAATGCCCTTTTATCAATGTATTGTAAGTGCGGGGAAGTAAAGGATGCTTTTCACATTTTTGAAAATATGAAGAGAAAAGATTTGGTATCATGGAACTCGATGATTTGTGGTTATGGACAGCAAGGACATGCAATTCAAGCTATTGAACTTTTTGAGGAAATGAAGAAACAAAAAGTGAGACCTGATTCCATTACTTTCCTTGGGGTGTTATCTTCTTGCCGCCATGCAGGTTCTGTTAAAGAAGGCATGTTTTACTTTAATTCAATGGTTGATTACCATGTGAAGCCAGAGCTGAATCATTATTCATGTATTATAGACCTTCTCGGACGAGCACGGTTACTAGAAGAGGCTCGGGAGTTTATCAAGAAGATGCCAATCCAACCAAATGGTGTCATCTGGGGTTCATTGCTTTTGTCATGCAGGCTTCACGGGAATTTTTGGTTGGGCATCGAGGCTGCAGAAAATAGGCTTGCGCTAGAACCATGGTCCACCTCTACCCACTTGCAACTGTTAAATTTATACGCTAGTTTAGGATACTGGGATCAGGCAGCGAGAGTGCAGAAGCTGATGAAAGACAATGGACTTAAAAGGGATCCTGGTTATAGTTGGATTGAGATAAACAGTCAAGTTTTTCGCTTTACTGCTGAAGACATATCAATGGGACATATTAAATCAATTGGTAGTTTGGTGGATATTTTGGTGGATCACATGAGAAGCTTTGGTGTAGAAGAAACTTATTCCACTGAATAGTAATGTAGAGTAGATGTGCAATTTTGCTTTGATATGAGCTAAAGATTCTTCTTGGCATATGTCTGGGATAACAATTTTGACTTGGGACAACAGCATGAGTGCAAAGAGATTGTTAAGAAAATGGACCTTGAGCTTAATTCAACTCTAAAAGCTAGCTCATTAGGCGAAGATTTCCGAAGACCATATAAGAGGACAACAGGTAATTCCCTCAACCTATATGAGACAGTCTAACCCCCCNCCCCATACCCAGGACACCTGGAGCGTGCACAACATAACATGGAGGTCCAACATTGGGTAACCAAGAATAGAGATGAGTCTTGACTTTAATACCATGTTAAGAAAATAGACCTTAGTCTTAACTCCAAAAGTTAGTTCATGAGGTAAGGGTTTTCAAGACCATAGTAGGAGACAATTGGTCATTCGTTCACCCTACGCCGAACAATTCACCCCAAGAATAGTAATGTGTAGTAGATATAGATTCTTGCACTGATATGAAGCAGATTCTTCTTGGCATACATCATGGATGACCATTTTGAGAACAACTATATGCATGCAAAGAGATGATCCTTTTCCGTTAAGCAGATACTCATACAAGTACCAATACAGGGATACAAATGGCTAAAATTGTGGAGAACTTAGTGAGGAGATCTAGTTTTGTTCTACAATACAGTCAATTTCAATTGAACCCGTCCCCATAACGTTACATCCGCCCCTTAGCAACTGCAGGCACTATTTTTCTCTTCTTGATGGATAGCCTCTTTTATAATAGTCAAGAAAAATCAGCATGAAGACGGTGAGATAAGATACCAGAAGAATAATTGTGTTCTTGATGCTTCCTTGATATATATATATACACACACACACAAAAGCTTTGCCTGGAATAAGACAACCTTGAAGAAAATTGGGGCCAGGAGGAGGATATTGCTTTCTCCATGGATCATTCTTTCTGAAAACTGTCTCTTTATTTATTGAACTACTTTAGATTGAGATACTGAATCCTCGGAAACCAAAAAAAAAAATAGAAATGAGAGTAGGACTATTTCTTTCCAAAAATGAAGATGACATGGTCAAGCAACTGCAGGCTCAGTTTGATCTTCCAGGTCCAGCTCTAATAGAGAAGCCTGACCAAAGATGCTTACCACAAGTCTCATTTCATCCCAGCTATCGGCACTTGTAGCTTCGGGCTCTTGCCTGACATGGTAATTATAATCATCATCCTTGTCTCCAGCATCCAATTGCCATAACCACTGATTACCAATGTAAACAGGCTGTGAATCATCGGCATAATGGCTGCCATGCTGTATTGCTTCACCTGTCGACAGGTCATCTGATTTCTCAGGTCTCTTTACATAACTGGGTACAAAATCATCTTTGCAGGTGCCAGCAAAGTAGGATACAAAATCCCCTAGCCAGTTGTTGTTCACCCCATCATTGTAGGGAAAAAGTTCATTTCCATAGAAGGTATTTGTTGAAAAGTGATTGACTTCTTCCTTGTTCCCGCAAAAGCTGTTGTCCTCGTAGAGTCTGTCTTGATTGGACGGAAGTGGCTCTCCATAAGGACCACCATTGACATAGCTTAGGTCATACCAAGTGAGGTAATAAAACTCGAAAGAGACCACATTCATGCTCACCGAGTGCCGAACTAAAAGCGCACATGAGAAGATCACAGAACTCAAGACTCTGCCACACAACCATGAAATGATGGGTTCTTGCTTCAGCTGAAGAAGTTCTGCTACTTATAATCAAAAAAAGAAGAAAGAGAATCTGCTATGCAGAGAATATGGTCTATGGTTTTACCTATCATAAAACAGGATGTGGTCTGCAATTTTGATGCTTTTTTCCCTTTCCACTGTAATTCTGATGCTCACCCATCAATTATCTACTACAACAGGAGAACATGCTTGAAGTAAAGTTTTATGTCAACTACGCCTTAATTCCAAATTAGTTGGAGTCACCTGTATGAATAATTTATACTATGTTGCTCCATTCAGGCAGAGGCGGATCTTGGATTTTTGGGTGCACTACTAAAAAAAGGAGGAAAATTGTATCAAGTGGGAATTAATTTCCTCTTGGTAAATAACTCAACATTTAACCAAGTACATCATTCAATCTTCTTGGAGCATGGGTGTCAACAGTTAATATTATACTTATTTTAAAAAATATGTACATAAAATATCTAATTTTGATGAAAGACCATGAGTTCATGTGCCCCATAATCTTCCCTATAAATTCGCCCCCTGCATTCAGGCATATATACATTGGTGAATGTTATTCAATTGACTACCCCTCGGCGATTGCAAGAAGTGATAGTTTTACTGGCGATCATATTTAAGTTAACACTGCTAGAATGAGAATTTTTCATGCGACTTTATGTGACCATTGCCTTAGTCATCACAAAAGGTAAGGGTTGCACACAGTAGCAAAGCAAAGGAATTTAGTTAAAGGTGTATGAATAAAAAGTAATATTTAATATATATATATATATATATATATATATATATATATAGTATAATTTTTTAGCGAAGGCTATTCAATTGACTGCCCTCGTCAAAGAATAAAGAGATACATTTATTACGTCACTCAATAATGTACCACACTGCTCTTTTATTCAAGTTTGGCATTTGTTTGTGCTGCCGCACAAAGCTGGTTGAAATAAAAGTTATTGCTAAAGAAATTTCGATTTCTTGCTGATTAAACACGTATATTTTTTGGGTTACCTATATTTATAGCTTGTTTAGCCAAGCTGACTTATTTTGAGAAGTGCTTTTGCTCTAAAGTGCTTTTAAGGACATGTATGTTGGAGTTAAGACACCGGTTAGAACAACAAGAGAAGACTTTGAGTACTTTTCGGTTGAGATGGGGCTGCATCAGGGTTCAACACTTAGCGCATTTTGTTTTCTTTGGCAATGGGCGTATTGACGCGACACATTCAAGGGGAGGTGCCTTGGTGCATGTTATTTGCAGATGACATAGTCCTAATTGATGAGACGTGCAGTGGTGTTCATGAGAGGCTAGAGGTCTGGAGACATACCCTAGAGTCTAAGGATTTTAAATTGAGCAGGACCAAGACAGAATACTTAGAGTGCAAGTTCAGCGGTGTTACTCAGGAAGCGGGCGGAAATGTGAAGCTTGATACACAAGTCATCCCCATGAAAGAGAGTTTTATGTATCTGGGGTCTATAATTCAGAATGATGGGGAGATTAATGAGGATGTCACACATCGTACCGGGACAGGATGGATGAAGTGGAGGCTCGCTTCCGGTGTCTTGTGCGATAAAAATGTGCGTTGAGACTTAAGGATAAGTTCTACAAGGTAGTGGTTAGACCGACTATGTTGCATGGGGTAGAGTGCTAGCCAGTCAAGAACTCCCATGTACAGCAGATGAAAGTAGCTGAAATGAGAATGTTGAGATGGATGTGTGGGCATACTAGGTTAGATAGAATTAAGAATGAAGTTATTCGAGACAAGGTAGGAGTGGCTCCTCTGGAGGAAAATATGCGAGAGACGAGGCTGAGATGGCTCGGACATGTTAAGAGGAGAAGCAGAGATGGCCTAGTCAGGAGGTGTGAGAGGTTGGCCTTGGAGGGGGAGGAGATAACAGTAAGGGTAGAGGTAGGCCATAGAAGCCTTGGGGAGAGGTGATCAGGCGAGACATGGCGCAACTTGAGCTAACCGAGGACACGACCCTGGATAGGAGGGTGTGGAGGTTGAGGATTAGGGTAGAAGGTTAGTAGGTAGTCGTGTGTTTTCCTTTATCTTCATTAGTTCGATAGTGTTAGTGTTAGTATGGTACCCTTTTTATCCTGAGTTTGCTATCATCGCATGTCTTGTTTTGTCATTACGTGTCACCGGTACTTCCTTAGTTTTCTATCAGTGCTCCTTTCATATTCTCTATTGTTATCAGACCCTCGGATTTAGTCCTCTAAATATATTGTCTTGTTATTTCTTGCTATCGGTATTTCTTTCATATTCTTTATTGCTATCTTCAATTTATTTTTCTAAATATATCGTCTTGCTATGAATTGCTATCAGCGCTTCTTCCATTTTCTTTAGTCGAAGGTCTATCGGAAGCAGTCTCTCTGCCTCCCAAGGTAGGGGTACGGTTGCGTACATCCTACCCTCCCCAGACTCCATTTGTGAGATTTTCACTGGGTTGTTGTTGTTGTTATAGTTTACTTTTGGCCAATTCATTTGATAAGTACTTTTTGCAGTTTTGGATAAGCAAATTATATTTGGTCAATCTTTTCAAAAAGTATTTTTGTATGCCAAATTACGATAAATATAATTGTTCAATTTATAATTAATATATTATTTAAAGAGAAATATAAATTTAATTATTTTTTCTTTTTATTTAGTTAGAATATTAAATATAAAGAAAAAAGATATATTAAAAATTTAATCAGTATAAGATATAGTTATCCAAAGCAACAATATTAGGTATCAAATATTACTTATTGTTTATATGATGATTTAAATATATCATCCAATATAAATAAAAAATTTGCTTTTTTACTCCCATATAAAAGGAAGATATCTATTTATAGTGGAGAGACTATTTCAAAGAAGAATAGGAGAAGAAGAATAGAAAGATAATAAAGATAAAATAAATAAATAAATCAATAAATAGAAAGGATGGTAGAAAAAAAAGAAAAAAAAGTTAAATTAATGAAGATAATTTGAAAATATAAATTTATAGTAAGGATACTTTTGTCTTAAAATAATTAATTTTCTGCTCCTGCTTTTTGAAAGAACATAGAATTTGTAAATTCTTCTCAAAAACATAAAAAATGATTCTGCTGCTGCTCAAAAGCACTTCAAACACATCAAATTTTTGACAAAGTACTTGGATGGAATCTGTTTAATAATGGAAAGAAAGAAAAAAGAAGAAACCAAACTACCATGACAAAGGGAAAAGTAGAAGGAAAGGATTAGGTATCTGATTTTGGAAAAGTGCTTAGCTTGCAAAAGCATGTTATTCTATTGAAAGAGAATCCTATGCATGGAAAAGGTATTATTTTGCACTTGGCTAAAATATGACAAGTAGAAGCCTCTTAATCCTTGCAGCAGAAAAAACAAGTATTACGCCTTAGTATGTTTGGTGTGTTTGAAAGGTCCCTTCAGAAGCTGCATAAACACCAAACACGGTTAAGATTGTACAGAACCTCAAGCTAATAAGAAGAGAAGCTGAATATAGGCAACACAATGACCACAAAATATTTTAGCCTGCTA